GATATGCCAGAAGATATGCCAGAAGATATGCCAGATAGAATGGCAGATAGAATTCCAGATAGAATGCCAGAAGATATGCCAGAATATATGCCAGGAGATATGCCAGATAGAATGCCAGATAGAATGCCAGAAGATATGTCAGATAGAATGCCAGAAGATATGCCAGATAGAATGCCAGAAGATTTGCCAGATAGAATGCCAGAAATATGCCAGAAGATATGCCAGATAGAATGCCAAATAGAATGTCAGAAGATATGTCAGATAGAATGCCAGAAGATATGCCAGATAGAATGCCAAATAGAATGTCAGAAGATATGTCAGATAGAATGCCAGAAGATATGCCAGATAGAATGACAAATAGAATGTCAGAAGATATGTCAGATAGAATGCAGAGATTTGCCCAATATAATGCCAGAAGATTTTGCCAGATATCACATGCCGAAGATTCCAGAAGTATGCCAGATATAATGCCAATAGAAATGTCAGAATCATATGTCAGATCGGAAATGCCAGACAGATTTGTCCAGTAGAAAATGTTATAATGTCATGGTTGGTGATCACGAAGTAAAGTTTTATGTTTTTAAGCGTTGTAAAGGGTTTAAGGGCTGGCAAACGGCAGGCTTGGCGCCCATAAGAGGCCATTGGATGTTTGGCCTTGGTGGTGTGCTGTTGGCTGCAGGATGAAGCATGCCAAGGGAATGTTTAAGCGATGTGGCCTTGGGGCAGCGCTATTGCCTGCGCGGTTCGGCGTTCCGAGAAGCTTTTGCACAGCTTGCAGGGTTTTAAGGGTTTTAAGGGTAAGCGTTTAAGGGCTGGCAAACGGCAGGCTTGGACGCCCATTAATTGTTTTCAGGGTTTTAAGGGTTTTGAGGTTTTGTAAGAGTTTTAAGGGTTTTAAGGGTTTAAGGGCTGGCAAACGGCAGGCTTGGACGCCCATAAGAAGCCATTGATGTGTGGCCTTGGGGTGCCTGCTGGCTGCAGGATGAAGCATGCCAAGGGAATGTTTAAGCGATGTGGCCTTGGGGCAGCGCTATTGCCTGCGCGGTTCGGCGTGCCGAGAAGCTTTTGCACAGTTTGCAGGGTTTTAAGGGTTTTAAGGTAAGCGTTTAAGGGCTGGCAAACGGCAGGCTTGGACGCCCATTAAGGGTTTTAAGGGTTTTAAGTTTTAAGGGTTTTGAGGGTTTTTAAGGGTTTTAAGCGTTTTAAGGGTTTAAGGGCTGGCAAACGGCAGGCTTGGACGCCCATAAGAAGCCATTGATGTGTGGCCTTGGGGTGCCTGTTGGCTGCAGGATGAAGCATGCCAAGGGAATGTTTAAGCGATGTGGCCTTGGGGCAGCGCTATTGCCTGCGCAACAAGTGCAACACCACACGCAGGTAGACCACCCCCGACAAGCTCCGCAACCATTGCCCAAATATGGGCGCATATGGGTACAGGACATGCCTGCTAAGTGCTGTCCAGCACCTTGCACATTTAAAGCCCGTGCAGAAGGCCTTGCACAGTTAAAGCCGGCGCAGGCGGCCTCGTGCGTTTGGTGCCAGCACGGAAGGCAAAGGACGGACCCCGCCGTCTTCATCGCTGTCGATGATTTGAACCTTTACTACGGGAATGCGGGAACGGCTGCTTTGGCCTTGAAATACAAAACCTTCCGCAGGAAAACTTGCTTGCCCAAAGCATGTAATTTTCATGTCCAAATGCCTGGAAGTCTTAACTGCAGGATGAAGCATGCCAGGAGAATGTTTACGCGATGTGGCCTTGGGGCAGCGCTGTTGGCTGCGAGATGGGTTTGACCTTGGGAAGCTAAGAAGGAGAAGTTCCACACCTGCGGTGGTCCCAGGCGCCGCCCCTGCCTTGGCCAAGGCCGGGGTCGGCGGATTTATATCGGAATATGATTCCCCACATTGACGTGTGGGGTTTTTGTTTTTAGTTCTGTATCCGCTCCTCGTCCTCCTCCTCCTCCTTCCCGTCCTCCCTCCCCACACACACACACACTCACTCACTCACTCCCTCACTCACTCACACACACACTCACTCACTCTCACTCACTCACTCACACTCACTCACTCTCACTCACTCACTCACACTCACTCACTCACACACACACACACACTCACACACACACACACACTCACTCACTCTCACACTCACTCACTCACTCACACTCACTCACTCACACTCACTCACTCACTCACTCACTCACTCACACACTCACTCACTCACACTCACTCACACACTCACTCACTCACTCCCTCACTCACTCACACACACTCACTCACTCACTCACTCACTCACGCACGCACGCACGCACGCACGCACGCACGCACTCACGCACTCACTCACTCACTCACTCACACTCACACTCACACTCACACTCACACTCACACTCACACTCACACTCACACTCACACTCACACTCACACTCACACTCACACTCACACTCACACTCACACTCACACTCACACTCACACTCACACACTCACTCACAATCTCACTCACACTCACACTCTCACTCACACTCACTCACACTCACTCACACTCACTCACACTCACTCACACTCACTCTCACTCACACTCACACTCACACTCACTCACACTCACTCACACTCACTCACACTCACACTCACACTCACACTCACTCACACTCACTCACACTCACTCACACCCACTCACACTCACACTCACTCACACTCACACTCACACTCACTCACTCTCACTCACTCTCACTCACTCTCACTCACTCTCACTCACTCTCACTCACTCTCACTCACTCACTCTCACTCACCCTCACTCACTCACTCACTCTCACTCACTCTCACTCACTCACTCTCTCTCTCACTCACTCACTCACTCACTCTCACTCACTCACACTCACTCACTCACTCACTCACTCACTCACTCACACTCACTCACTCACTCCACTCACTCACTCACTCACTCACTCACTCACTCACTCACTCACTCACTCACTCACTCACTCACTCACTCACTCACTCACTCACTCACTCACTCACTCACACTCACTCACCCACGCACTCACTTTGCTTCGCTTCGCTTCACTTCGCTTCACTTCACTTCACTTCACTCACTTCACTCACTCTCACATCCCTCACTCACACACACACCACACTCACATCACTCACTCGCACTATCACTCACTCACTGTACATGAACATACATACATGCATACACACAAACTCACCCACCATCACCGCTCCATCACTCTTATACTTCCTCTTCCCTTCTTGCTTTGCTATGCTCAGTCTAAGTCTAAAGAAGTTGGTAACATGTGGGGTTATCCGGTCCTTTAATTTTTCTTTTTCAAAAGCACGTTGGCCCATTTGCTTTTCCCAAACCACCAAAAAACAGATGCCAACCCGCAATTAGCACCCGCAATTAGCAGAAAGCAGTTGCAGTTGCCTTCTGTTTGTTTATATAAAGCTAGTTGAATCATTTGATTTCCCCACATCACCAAACAAGCAGATGGCAACCCAAAATTAGCAGATAGCAGTTGTAGTTCCTTTTTTAGAAGCACGTTGGCCCATTCGGTTTTCCCAAAATACCATGAAAAGAAGATGACAGACCAAAATTGGCAGATGGCAGTTGTAGTTGCCTTTTGTTTTTTCTTTTTCAAAAGCAAGTTGGCCCATTTGTTTTTCCCAAACCGCCAAAAAAACAGATGGCAAACCAAAAAATTGCAGATAGCAGCAGTTGTATTTGCCTTTTGTTTGTTTAGCACCTTGCCCCATTTGCTTTTCCCAAAGCCCCAAGAAAGCAGATGCCAAACCGCAATTAGTATCCGCAGTTAGCAGAAAAGCAGTTGCAGTTGCCTTTTGTTTGTTTAAAGCAAGTTGGCCCATTTGATTTTCCCACATCACCAAACAAGCAGATGGCAACCCAACATTAGCAGATAGCAGTTGTAGTTGCCTTTGGTTTGTTTAGCACGTTGGCCCATTTGTTTTTCCCACACCACCAAGAAAGCAGTTGGCAACCCACAATTAGTAGATAGCAATTGTAGTTGCCTTTTGTTTTCCTTTTCTAGAAGCGTGTTGGCCCAATTGCTTTTCCCACACAACCAAAGAAACAGATGACAACTCAACCCAAAATTAGAGGGTAGCAGTTGTAGTTGCCTTTTGTTTTTGTAGCACGTTGGCCCCCTTGCTTTTCCCAAACTAGCAAAAACACAGATAGTGACTCAAAATTAGCAGATAGCAGTTGTAGTTGTCTTTTGCTTGTTTAGCAAGTTGGACCATTTGCTTTTCCAAAACTGCCAATGTCAAGCCGAAATTAGCAGATAGCAGCTGTAGTTGCCTTTTGTTTGTTTAGCACGTTGGCCCATTTGATTGTTCCAAACCAGCAAAAACGCAGATGACAACCCGAAAGTAGCAGAGGGCAGTTGTAGTTGCCTTGTCTTTTCCTGAAACCCGTTTCAGGCAAATCGGCCCATTTGCTTTTCCCAAACCACCAAAATAGCAGCTGGCAACCCAAAATTTGCAGATAACAGCGGTAGTTGCCTTCTGTTTGTGCAACAGGCTGGCCCAATTTGTTTTGTCCCAAATCAGCAAAATAGAAGAGTGTTTGTGTAGCAAGTTGGCTCATTTTCTTTTCTCAAACCACCAGTTTGCAACCCAGCATAAGCAGATAGCAGTTGCAGTTGTTTTTTTTAAACAAATTGGTTGATTTGTTTTTCGCAAACCACCGAAAGAAGTAGATGGCAACCCCAAATAAGCAGATGGCAGAAAGCTGTTGTAGTTGTTTTGTGAAAAAATGCAGCAAATTGGTCTATTTGCTATTCCCAAGCTGGTTTGGAATTTATTTTGTCGTAATTTTCAACTTACCATCTGGTTATTTAACATAGCCATGGAAAATCACCATTTTTAATAGGTAAACCATCTATAAATGGGCCATTTTCCATGGCTATGTTAAATAACCAGAGGGTATTATGAACATATTTTTTTCAACGCCTGTTGTGGAATGTAGTGGATCTCATCCTTCATTCCAAGCCAGGCGCACGATGCTTCTGGACTACATGGGTTCCTTGTTGGTCAATGAGCCGAATCATTTCCCAATCTTAACCTCCAGACCAGGCAGACCCATCGCGGGAAGGGAAGCACGGGAAGCTGTGTCTCATCCAAAACCTTCTGAAAACAGTCAAAGATGCCACACACCTATAGATTATCCCAACAATTATATGCATGTGTTCGGGAAAAATAACACATTCTTTTTTGTTTTACAGATTGCCTATCTTAGCCCGTCTTGTGCCTCTTTGTCGAATGGATCGCCAGGTGTTCTGGCGATGCGGGAAAATGAATTCATGGCTACGCGAGGCTTTGTGTCTGTGACACTGTCGCGCCTATCCAGCGAAGATGCTTTAATTCTCAGTCGCAGGACCCTCCCAAACATTCCCAAGGGGCTTGCGCTACCTGAGGTTTAATATGGTGTTTATTGATTCCCGGGTTCATCATCCCCTTTAGAGTGCATTGGTCAAAAAATGCCATGGGGATCTCCATATTCCTCGTGCCAGGATGATGGCGAGACTGGGGGATAGCGACGATGTCATCGGAAAGGTTTCGAATCTCCTCAACAATCCTGCCTACCACACGCTGACAGGCTTCACCATGGCAAGATTTCTGTGTTTTTGGCTCAGGCTACTCACTGTAAGGTTCTGTCTCACAAGCTTGAAAGTCGGCTGTGTCTCTGCAGTTGCAAACACGACTAGATCATTGAATCATGTTCTCTACGACATATCCTTTACATCCCAAACACAGCATTTGATGATTTTGTTCCAAATGATCCACCATGTAAGCCTTTGTTCCTGAAACATCATTGTTCCCACAAGCAGCCTCCCTGGCAGGCAATCCCTTGTGTCTGGGCTTGCTGACCAATGTTCTTCGCAAGTCTGACTTGGACCGCATGGCATGGGTGGGCGACTGGCAAAATCGTGGCAGGTCTGAGGCAAAGGCCATGATTTTTAAATTGCAGAATTGTAGGTAGGTACACTATTTGAGGGTTTTACCTGTCTTGTTTGTAGACCTGAACAAGACAAGTGGTATCTTGAGAGCAGATCCTCCACCCTGATATTCCTCAAGTTGCTTTCTAGGCCAACCAGCGCTCCCGCAGGATTCAGCAAAAAACAAGATTCTTGACAAGGTTGAAGTCTACGCGCATCTTGGACGTTGATCGAAGATTGGTTGACGGAATGGGACACCATCCATTTTTTGTGGCCATGTTGTGTGGTTAAGTCGATGTTGTCGAAGTTGTCGAAGTTGTTGGTTTGCCAACCAAATCCGCTGTGATAAATCCGGACACCGCCTCTCCGCTCTGAGGCGGGCCTTCAAATTGATGCTGCACCAATCTGACGCTGCGAAACTCGGTGAAACACGTGAAACTCCCAGCGTGAGTTTCTCATTTGTTGCTGTCCCAATATCTACTTGCACACACGCATAAATATGCAGAAATACGTACATACACACACACAGATATATATATATATATATACATACACGCACATGCACACAGACAGACACAGACAGACACAGACAGACACAGACAGACACAGACAGACACAGACAGACACAGACAGACACAGACAGACACTGACAGACACTGACAGAGACACACCGAGACAGAAAGACAGACAGCCTATTATGTCACCCGATTCCGAACAAAAATTTGAGCCTACAATACGCTTATGTTGGGCCCATGTTAATCCCATGTTGAGCCCATGTGGCCGATGTTCCTGCAGAAACCATGTCAATTGCAGGTCACCAGGCACCGGCCGTCCAAGGGCCCTTGAGTCTCAAAAGCGAATGAGCAGCTGCGCATGTTATAGATTTGGATTTGTAGGGGCCTCTTGCCGGGATCATTTTTTTGATTGCAATAATATTTTCTTTTGATGGTTTTGGAATATTTTTTGATTGGAATAATATTTTTTTGATGCGCTTACCCGATTGTGTGTGAAAGAGAGTATGTGACAAAGTTGTGTGTGAAAGATGGTGTGTGACAAAGAGGTGTGTGACAAAGTTGTGTGTGACAGGGAGGCGGTGGCGGAGGAGGACGAGGAGGAGCGGGAGGAGGAGCGGGATACAGAATCAAAAACAAGAACCCCACACAAAGATGTGGGGAAAAAAACGCTTTGGCACCTTCGGCGCAGGGAGACTTATTTATACAGACATACTGTACATGTATCATGAATCTGGCACTTAGAGTATTGAACTTTCTGGACCTCCAAGACAGCATTTCGGAGTGCCGGCGCAAAAAAACAGACCTTTGTGCTTCAAAAAAAGGGTCGCTTTTGTTTTTCATGGTCATGTCAGACGCTTTCATCCGAAACGTGTTTGATGTGTTTGATGTGTGTATTTTTTTTCTGCCTGAGGAAATTCGCGTCGCGGGATGGCAAAAGTGATCAAGCAATGGTCAAACACCTGGAAAACCTCAAGGGCTCTGATGCCCGGAAGTATTTCCAAAGTGTTGCCTGGCAGGCAGGAACCGTTGAATCCGCCGATCATGGGTTTTTTCATGGATGGTGTGATGTCAAAATATAGGCCGTGATGGCCACTGAATAGGGAAGATGAGGTTTTCAAAGCATTTGGACACACCAATTCTCCTAAGATTTTACATATTGCCCACGTTAGCACCCAACCCCACGGTGCTGTTGCATGCCAAATTCCACGAACTCCCACAGGTCCTGGTTGTGTAATGTTGTAGACAGTTAGCTTCTGGGCACCACTTGCTTGGATCCAGTTGTTTTGTTTGTCACACAGTTTGTTCTTTGGCTTACCTTCTGTTAATCAGCCATTACAATGGAAAATCCCGGATATATAGGGGATTGTCCAATTTTTTGTAGTCTAGAAACCCATTTTTGGGGGATTTGCCAGCCCTGATTGATTACCGGAATAGTTTTCAGTGACGGACTGAAACCTATGTTTCTTCTTTGTTTCTTGGATATCTTGGATGGCGTCAGGGCCAATCCAATCGCTTGCGAGCCATGACCATGGAGATGTTGCAAGAGGTCTCCGGAAATGAGGCCAGAAACGCGGAAGTGGATGGGCTCGGAGAGATGGAGGGGTGGCCATCTAAGGGTCATGCTAGCTATGGGACGACACCATCCCTGAACACATGTACACCATGCACAGAATATATGTATATATATATATACAATATGATATATGATATATAATATATAATATATAATGTATAATATATAATACATAATGTATAATATATAATATATGATATATGATATATGTGCGAATAGAGTGTAGGCTACGGACCATTGTATATTATCACATAATTCGACACTCTAGGATCCAGTACCAAAGGGGCACTTCAAACTGGCCTCTTTGGCTCAAGACCCACTGCAGCACCAGAACAAAGAACTGCCATGCGGAAGCTGTTGCCCGTGTAACGTCATCATTGGAGCATTCATTGCAAACACAACCACTGGAACATAATCGGGTAAGCAATCCCCGGTTCGCAGGTTATCAGCCGTAGGACTCCTACGGAGCCTACGAGCGGGGAGCCGCGGGCCTTACAGATGACTGAACAGGATAGCAGCGATAATGCATTTTCTTTCTCTGGACATGCCGTTGCACCAGCTGCCGGCACGCAGTCAAATTCTTCACAGAGTATCGACACTGGTGGAAGCGATGCCTCAGAACTGAGAACAAGCCAACCCAGGCGACATCTGGTTGCTCCTAGAGGGAGACAAATTTCGACAATGCAAGCAATTGAAGATAGGGACAGCACACCTGGAAAGAGAAGATCATCTGCACGACAATTGTCGCCTCCGATGACTCCAAGGACTAAGGCAAAGACTACGTCGTCGAATCCGCCTTCACCGATTCAGGACGCTACTCCATCAGGGACAGGATCTTATCAGCAAGTGAACGCCCCGTCAAGTGGTAGCGACATCTTCACTGCCTATCAGAGTGAGTTAGCAGAATACAAGACATCACTGGAGAGGGCCACTGAAGAAGAATCCGTACTTCAGGCAAGATTGAGCGAGACGACAGCATATGCCTATCAACAATTTAATTTCCTGGAAAGCACCACTCATCAAGAGATGATGTCGATGACCGAACAACTCCAGATGCTGAACTTCGAGTTACAGGCTGCACAACAGGAAGATGAAGGTGCGACCTACAGGATCGAAGAGTTGGAAAGATATCAGACTATGTCGAATGAAGCCGCATCTCATTTGGAATTCAAATATTCACGACTACGTTCGGAATTCGATGAACAAATGGGACAAGCAAACGCAATTATGGTACATGTGGGAACTGACGCGAATGCTCACATCAATCAACTCAGACTGGAACTGGAAAACGCAGAGATGAATGCCAAGCAAGAAGCTCTAGCAGTCGGCTATGCTAATGACCAAACATGTGCTTTGCAGATCGAGATGCTCGAGGTTGCCAATCAGAACCAGACGATGAAGCACACCATGGCCATGAATGTCAGGCGACTGGAAACTGAGTTAGATGCTGCTGACATGAAGAGGGACGAGATCATGAAGGAGTTCCGTAGTAACATAAGATCTGAACATGACCGTTATGCAGAATGTGAACATCACTTAGCTTTGGAAGAATCACAGCTTCGATTACAGGTGATCCACAGTGAGAACTTACAATCTCGACTAGCGATTTCTGAGAACAGGGTTTCTGAAGAATCTCTAGCTGAATCAGGCGGCATGCGGGACATGAGGATAATGGGACTACGTTCTGAACTACACATGAAACAAAGTCTTTTAGATCGAATGCAACAGCAACTGACTGAATCGAAGAATCAGTATCATGAACTTTCCTGTCAACAAGCCAGAAGATCTTCACCAAGCAGATCACCGCATGGAGGACCTCTATACGAGATGTACATGCAAGCCGTGCGTGAACGTGACAGCTTGAAAGAATCCAAGGCCGAAGTTGACAAGTTGTACTTGCAGAATAGATCTGAACTCATTGACACTGAGGACCTGCTCAAAGTCTTCCAGCGAAACTTTGATGAAACTGGTAAGAAATATCAAGATGCTCTGAACAAGATCGATCACATGAGCAACAATCCGAATGTGACGAGTACCTTGTTTGACAGTTTGCACAATGAACTCAATGACAGGGATACAGCTATTGCTCGCCTTCATACTGAACTTGAAGCCCAAAAGGACTCTCTTGAGCGTGCTCACAGGGATGCAGGTAAGTCCATCAAGATGTTGAACGACAGAAGACTCGTGATCAAAGGTGCGACTGACTATTCCATTCCCGAAAGCCATTTGACCGAGATGCATCAACTGGCCAATGAGCGTTACGCTGAGGTAGAAGAAATGACGAGTACCATTGCAGCCCTGAAATTGGAAAACCAAGCTCATTCTTCTTCATCAAAGAATAGACCGACTACGTTACATGGGTACCCCAGTAATGCTATGCCTCGGAATGAATGTGAAGAGAAGTGTGCTAAACTGAAAGCAGAGTTGGACGAGATGAAGCAAGAGAAGAACAATGAAGTTCGAAATCTTCAAGATGAGTTGAAGAAGATGGAAGATCGGAAAGATTACTACAAGAACAATTTCTCTCAAGCTGAAGATCGTGCCAATGATGAAGAGCAGGAATACCGAGCAGAAGCTGAAGCCTTCGAGAAGCTCAGGAACGAGTACAACACCAATGTCAGGGAGTTGGAGAACCTTGAAAGGGATAGATCCAAGTCATCCGTATCTCTAAGAGAAGCCGAAAAGATCAGCCTCCAACCCTGGCCTAAGACCACTGAACTTTCATCCTGGAAGGGAAGTGTCGTTCATGAAGTTTGCGTTGCAAGTGGAGATCGAAACTATGAAGATTGGAAAGCGTGGCTTGCTCCGTGTCTTGCAGATCAACCTGACTTGGAGACGCTGGCCAAAGCTCCTGATGTAAGATTCCAATCCATTGATGCCAAGCTCTCCAATGCCTTGAGGAAAGTCATTGACAATGCTGGGGACAAGTCCATGCAAGTGAAGTATGACATGTCCATGAAGAACCAATTGTATGGGAGAAGTGGGGACTTCATCAAGGGACGAGAACTATTTGCAATGATATTGATTAGCTTCAAGTCACCTGACCACACTGAAGTTCTCTACAATGCCCATCATTTATATATGTTCAACTACTATGGAGACGATCAACTTGAGGCATTCTACAACAAGTGGCTTGACATCGTATACAATATGAAACATGATGATCTGCCTTCCAACAATTCCCTGCGTGACACATTGTTCCGGAAGATTGAACATTCAAAACTTATGGCCTTCGATATCAACCGATACAAAACCTTTGATGAAGGGCATCATGAGAAGACCTATGCTTACCTAACTGGTATGATCAAGGGATACATAGCACGAGGGAAGCAAGAACGACTGTTGAAAGATAGAGAACGTGCAGTGAAACTGTCATTGTCCTCTAACAAGACGACACCTGCCTTAGAAGATGCAGACAAGCCTGCCGCTCCCGTCAAGACCAAGAAGGAGAATGAAGCGGCTGCATCGTCTACAGGTGATCCTCCCAAACGTCCTAAGGCGAAAGCGAAGAGTGAAGCTGCATCGGTACTTCCTACACCTTCTCCGAAATCCCATGCCGACAAGAACAACAAGAAAGGCAAAGGTGGGAAGGGAAGATCATCTTCACCCGTTGACAAGAAGAAGATTTTCTGTAACTACTTCTTCAATAAAGGAGGATGCAACAAAGGTGACAAATGTCTTTACAGTCATTCTCAGAAGGTCTATGATGCCAAGATGAAAGGTAAGAAAGGCAGAAGCGGAAGTCGAGATTCATCAAGAGGGAAAGGTAGAGGAAGTTCATCTTCAGCTGGACCCAAAAAGAAGGTATGTTGGAATTGGCAAGAGGGTACCTGCAAGTTCGGAAGCAAATGTAAATTCCTGCATGCAGATAAATCGCCTTCAGCATCCTCAGAGAGAACCAGCAAGAAGACACCAAAGAAGAAGGCGACTCCCATTACCATTGATTCCTTCTTTGATAGCGACAATGAAGATTCTATGGATTATACCTCACCGAGGATAGCCAGCGCAAAGAAGTCTTCTGATGATCGCAGGATCTCTTTTGAACTGGAACCTGAAGTGCACGAGATTGCTATTGAAAACTACCTGGAGGGATTACCCAAGCGTATGTATCGTGACCCCAACAAGCCGTATGTCTTCTGGAAGGTCGATGATCTGACCGACGATCAGTCCAAATCCGACAACACCCTCGGTTCAATCCGGGCACGGGCCAAAGCTATCATCATGGACAGATGTGGACTCCATCGTTTTGTTGATGAAGTTAGAATCATTATTGGCCCCAAGTTCGACATGTTGATCAAACTGGACAATGGTCGTGATGACTTGATTTTTATTGAAGAGCTTGTTGAGCATGAAGTTGGAAACTCCCTCATGAAGTCCAAGAACATAATGTGCATTTCACTACCAGTGCAAGCCAAAGATCGTAGATTCATCCTGGATTCTGGCAGCGGACACGATCTGATTTCTGCAAGGAAAGCCGAAAGGATGAACTTGAAGCAGCGAACTTGTGATCCTATCATGTTCCACACAGCCAACGGTTCAACTGCTACTCAGACGGAAGCAGAGATTGACCTGGGAACCTTTGACGTGACCTCTCACGCCTATGTACTGGACGACACTCCGTCCGTGATGTCTCTTGGGAAACGATGCATGGAAGAAGGATACTCCTTTGTATGGCCATCTGGTCAAATGCCTTTCATGATTACGAAGAATGGAGAACGCATCGATTTGACAATCCATGACAACATCCCCTATGTTGATCTTGGAACTTACGAATGCACTCCTCATGAATGTCATCATGCATCGAAGATCCATGACCTATTGACACATCCCCAAGTTGGATTCAATGATTTCAACGACATTGATGATGTTGGTCAACCCTCACGAAGAGTACATCTCGATGGAGAAAGTGGTCTTGAGACATCAACTGAGGATCACAACTGTTCCCGATATGTCAAGAAGCTCAAGGTGAAGAAGAAGAGAAGAGCAAT